TGCAATATTTACTTAAAGAGCAGTGAGCTCCAAGCTAGCCATTGTTAGCGGAAGCATAAACCATTCATTGCGTTAGGACCCTGGGAGGTAAGTGCTGCTGTTATTACTATCATCCTCATTTTACAGAATAGGAAATGATGGCTGAGGAAAGTGTGGCCTGTCACACAGAGAAGTGTCAGAGGTGAGACTCAAAGCCAAACCTTCCCTATTCCTCCTCCAGAAGGTCCAGAACTATGCATAACACCACCTAGGTGGGAGAATGAAGTGCTTGAGATTAGAGGGAATTCCTGGCTTAATTGATAGAAAGCTGGATTCAAATCCTATTTTAGCTGCTCTTGGCAATTTTAAGATTGTAAGATGAAGAGAAGGAGCTGACCTGTATTGGGAGAGGGCATTTCCCTACAAGGAGTTCTGACTCTTAGCTTCCCTGGCTTCCATCAGGGCTCAGTGAAAACCCCTTCTTCTGCAAGATGCCTTTCCTAGTCCTCCTTAACCTTAACACCTTCCCTGGAAGATTGTTGTTGTTAAGTCTCGTCCAACTCTTGTGACCCCATTGGGGGTTTTCTTGACAAAGATAGGTTTGCCATTTCCTTCTCCAGCTCATTTTACAGATGAGGAAACTGAGGCAAACAGAGTTAAGTGACTTGCCTAAGGCCAGATTTGAACTCAGAAAGATGAGTATTCCTGACTTCAGGCCCGCTTCTCTATCTACTGCACCACTTAGTTGTCCTCCCTGTGAGATTACCCTTTCCCCAATTTCTCTTGTATATTTCCTGTCTATGCATTGTTTCCAAGGTATCTCTCCATTTATTCTATTCTATTCTATTCTATTCTATTCTATTCTATTCTATTCTATTCTATTCTATTCTATTCTATTCTATTCTATTCTATTCTTTCTTTTGACCCTGTCCCTCCTCAGAAGTACTTGCTTCTGATTACCCCCTTTCCCAATCTGCCCTTCTCTCTATCATCCCCCTGCTCTCTTGTCCCCTTCTCCCCCTATTTTCCTGTAGGGTAAGACAGATTTCCATACCCAATTGAATGTGTATGTTATTCCCTCCTTAAGCCAAATCCTGTGAGAATGAGATTCACTCATTCCCTCTCACCTTCCCCTGTTTCCCCTCCACTGTAAGAGCATTTTCTTTTCTGTTTTTTTTTGATGAGATAATTTACCCCGTTCTACCTCTCCCTTTCTTCTTCTCCCAGTATAATCCTTTCTCATCCCTTAATTTTATTCTCCAGATATGACCCCTTAATCTTCAGCTCACCCTGTGCCCTCTATCTATCTATCTATCTATCTACATATACATACATATAATTTTTTTCCTCCAACTACCCTAATACTGACAAAGGTCTCATGAGTTATAAATATCATATTTCCATGCAAGAATATAAGCAGTCCAGCCTTAATAAGTGTCTTATGATTTCTCTTTCCTGTTTACCTCTTCATGTTCAACTTGAGTCTTGATTTCAAAGTCAAATTTTCTATTCAGCTCTGGTCTTTTCATCAAGAATGCTTGAAAGTCCTCTATTTCACTGAAGGACCATTTTTTTCCCCGGAAGGATTATACTCAGTTTTGCTGGGTAGGTGATTCTTGGTTGTAATCCCATCTCCTTTGCCCTCCAGAACATTATATTCCATGCCCTGTGGTCCTTTAATGTAGAAGCTTCTAAATCTTGTGTTATCCTGATTGTGTTTCCACAGCACTTGAAATGTTTCCTTCTGGCAGCTTGTAATATTTTCTCCTTGACCTGGGAACTCTGGAATTTGGCTATAATATTCCTAGGAGTTTTCCTTTGGGGATCTCTTTCAGGAGGAGATCTGTGGATTCTTTCAATTTCCATTTTGCCCTCTGGTTCTAATATATCAGGGTAGTTTTCCTTGATAATTTCTTGAAAGATGACATCTAGGCTCTTTTTCTGATCATGGCTTTCAGATAGTCCAATAATTTTTAAATTTTCTCTCCTGGATCTATTTTCCAGGTCAGTTGTTTTTCCAATGAGATATTTCACATTGTTTTCTAATTTTTCGTTCTTTTGGATTTGTTTTACAGTGTCTTGATTTCTCATAAAGTCACTGTCTTCCAATTGCTCTATTCTAATTTTTAAGGAAGTATTTTCTTCAGTAATCTTTTGGACTTCCTTTTCCATTTGACCAATTTTTCTTTTTAGGGCATTTTTCTCCTCATTGGCTTTTTGAACCTCTTTTGCCATTTGGGGTGAGGCTATTTTTTAAGGTGTTATTTTCTTCAATATTTTTTTTGGGTCTCCTTTAGCAAGCTGTTGACTTGTTTTTCATGATTGTCTTGCATCACTCTCATTTCTCTTCCCAGTTTTTCCTCTACTTCCCTTACTTGCTTCTCAAAATCCCTTCTGAGCTCTTCCAAGGCCTGGGACTGATTCATATTTTTCTTGGAGGCTTTGGATGTAGGTGCTTTGACTTTGTTGTCTTCTTCTGGTTGTATATTTTGATCTTCTTTTTCACCAAAGTGAGATAATATAGTCTGACTCTTTTTGCGCTGCTTGCTCACAATCCCAGACAATTACTTGAGTTTTAAACTCTTTGTTAAGGCAAGAGTCTGCTTCCAATGTGGAGAATGTACTGTCCCAAGCTTCAGGGGGTTTGTACAGCTGATTTCAGAGATACTTGTAGGGACCTATAAATTTTCAGTTCTTCCAAGGTGGTATGATAAGGGGCAAGGTGTTTACTTCTTCCCTGGCCTGTGACCACAAGTGCTCCTTTCTGTCCTGTAACTGTGAGGAGGGGTTCTTCTCTACAGCCACTACAAGCTCCATCACGTCAGCGGTCCTCCTCACCCCAGGACCGCCATCCAGAACTGTGACCCAGATCCAAGCAAGGTCAAAGCAAGTGATTCCTGCCTCAGCACTGGCAAAGAGATCCCTGCAATCCTTCTCTGATCAGCCACTGGATTCCCCCTCAGTCTGTGGGCTAGAAGCTCAGGAGGCAGCTGCCCCCCCCCCAGGGCCACGCTCTTGGGGAATAGAACTGAGACCCCGCGTTCCTCTCTCAGCACCACAGAAACAGAGTTTTCCCACTGATTTTCTAAGTTGTCTTTGTCATTCATGGATTGAGGAGTCTGGAAACCACCACAGCTGCCGGAGATTCAGGCCTCTGAGGCCTGCTTCAGGTTCACTGCGGCCTGTGCGCCTATGCCATGCTGAGCTCCTCTATCAGCCCTGTGGGATATACCTTTCTGATTAATCATCCAGGTTGTCTTGGGCTGGAAATTTGTTTCACTCTTGTGTTTTTGTGGCTTCTGCTGCTTTAGAATTTGTTTAGAGCCATTTTTTTGTGAGTATTTGGAGGGGTTTGGGGGAGAGCTCAAGCAAGTCACTGCTTTCACTCTGCCATCTTGGCTCCACCCTCCATTTTTCCAAGGTATCTGTCCAATTAGATTGTGAGCTCCTTGAAAATAGGGACTTTTTCCCCCTCCAGGCTTTCTTTGTATCCTTAGCACTTAGCACAATGCCTGGCACATAAGGGCTTAATAAATGCTAGTTTATTGACTATACCAGTGAAATCAAAGGTCTATTCCAAGGGCAGGGAACCTGCAGCCTGAGACCTCAAGGACACAGATTCCCCACCCCTTATCTTGTCCCTATCCCTGTTTTGAACTGGAGTTTGAGATGTTTCTTTGAATTAAATAAGAAACAGGATGTCTGTGAATTCATTCTCTCTTATGCTGCTTGTAGCTTGGGCAGAGGTTTGGTTAGGTCCTTAATATCCTATTTGGCTTGTATTTGGAGCATGTAGTAATTTAACCTGTTAATCAGTACCCTGGCCTCTTTCCCCCATCTAATGCCTTTATTATACAGACAATGAAGTCTTAAAAACTTCCCTGAATGAGTACAGCCAGACTCACTGAACAGTGGGCTTCTGCTTCTTCCTCCCCTTTTCTCTTTGAGGTGAGGTAGGGGTAGGTAATGGTTGTACTAATCTTTTGAATGCATTGTGACTAAATTAGCTCTTGACAGGGGAAAAAAAATCTAAGAAAAGGACACTTAGAAAAAAACCAAAAACAGCAGATTGGAGAGGCTTTCCAGATTGGTTGGTAATTTTAAAACTAAAATGGATCTAAGGTACTCAGGGGAGGAAAAAACTCACAGAGGTTGCTTTCTTTCTGTTTCAGTAATTATGCCTGTTAAAAAAGGAATTGTCCTCCCAGCCTCCCAGCCCCAGGAAATTGAGATCCCATGTCAAAGATTCAGTGTCTAGGATAAGCCCCCATCTAACTGCAGAAAGGAAGCCAATGTTAGAGCAGGGTTATAACCTAGCCAGACCTAGCCAGGTCTCCTGATGCCCAGGCCACAGCTCTTCTAATATAGAAAACTTATGAGTGATCATAAAAGGATTTATAAGCTTTTTTGGAGGGCGTAGAAACATATATAAATGATAAAAATTTTTTACTAATAACATCATCAGTTTGTAATAATGTATTAGTGAAATGTAAGAATAGGGACTGGACCTATAATTTTATTAATGATTTATGATTTATGAATTTATTATTATTATTATTAGCTGTCCTAGATGAGGAAGCTCCCTTCACCAATGCAGGTCAGCACCTTCTCTGTAATTTATAGTCTTAGAGAAGTGAAATATGCTTTTTAAAAATAGGTTTAAAGTTTACAAAATACCTCATACTAAGCTAATGAATGAGATTGTTGGTGTGTATATAATTTTCCTCATTTTACAGATGAGGGATCTAAGGCTCACATCTGTTCTGTAACTCACCAAGAGTCACACAAATAGCCAGTGTCAAAGCAAGGATTTGAACTCAGTTCTCTCCTGTTGTTTCCACTATACCACCTGCAAATGACTAGGTTGCCCAAGAATCCTAATCCAAGCTCCACGTAAATTGTGTGAAAGAAGCCTGGAAGGGGGACTGTGTTCAGTCAGCGGTAACTGGTATCAACAAGCCTTATTTTTCTTGCTGTTCTTTATGGAATGTCAATATTTATCATGTTCTCCTTTCTGGCAGGTTGAGTGGATACAACAGCAAGTGGTTAAAAAAAGGATAAAGAGGGACTTTGAACTCAGTGGTGCCCAGTCTACTTACTTCAATGATCCAAAGTGGCCAAGCATGTGGTATATGGTAAGTACAAGCAATAACAACAACAATAACAAAAAACATTTACTCTAATTCATATAGTTCAAGTCCTTGTTGATTGATAGACTTCTGTTGGGACTGGGCATTGTATTAAAATAGTGGGAGAGAGCATTACTATTATTATCATTCTGGGGGGGGTTAGGCAGTGGGGTTAAGTGACTTGCCCAGGGCCACATAGCTAGTAAGTGTTATGTGTCTGAGGTCAGATTTGAACTCAGGTCCTCCTGAATCCAGGTCCAGTGCTTTATCCACTGTGCAACCTAGCTGCCCTCGGAAGATTATTTTTTGCTCCAAAGCCAGTTTAGTGGAGATTAGTTAATGTGCTAAACGAGATTAGCACACTATTAATTATGTTTTTTACGTCATTGAATTTTGCTCTATATAGCATTAAGAGGGAGGAAGGAAAGTTTAACAGTTGAGATTTTCTTGAGATCACTCTAGGCCATAGCCTTCCAATTGAGGGATGAATATCAGAAAACAAACCAAGGAAGAGAAACCCATGGATTTATTCATATGTCATTAATGAGCTTTTTAAGGCCAGATGTGTGATTTCATTAGCATAAGATTATCTCAGTGAGGTATTACTACCAGCACATATGGGCACCCCTTCTGCAACTTGTAGTCTTACAGAATAATGAAAGTTTGAAACATGAGAAGTTGTGACTTTCTCAGGTTTGGACAACTAATATATGTTGGAGGCTAGATTTCAATCTGGGTCCTTCTCACTACTCCATGCTACCTTTTAATGCAAAGTTGTTGGGTTTTTTTCTTATGAGTAGGGCTTGTTTATTATATTTCTATCCCTAATGCCTGGCACATAGAAGATGACTAATAAATGCTCATTGATTGATTGACTGAACCAAGCACTATTAATTACCCATCTCTGTTACACATTTTGCCAATTCAACAATTCTGTTAAGCAAATCTAGGAAATGTAGGAAGAAGAAAAGAGTGGGAATAGGATCCACAGAATTCCTAGGTCTCCAGCGACCACCAGGTACAATTTCTGGATGATGATTTCAGAAGCTTTTCGTTCTTCTGAGGAAGCTAATCTGACCGTTCCATAGTTGTCTGTAAGAGAAAAGCAGAACTTTTAAAGAATGAGGTTATCATTGTCAATGTAGAGGGGTGAAGGGTGGGAGGGAAACAAGTCAGGGTTTTACTCATTGAAAAAAGTAAAACATAATTAAAAAAACTAAAGTCTGAAGTTAAAACCTAGATGTCATTTGCTGAGTGTTCACATGAGCCTAACCTAGGTAATTCAAGCTTGATTTTTGTGACAGCTACCTGATCTCACTGACAGGTTTTCCATTGGGTTGGTTGGCCCCTTTAACATTTGAAGTTGTTTTCAGTTTACAGGGTCACTGCTCATGCTTGGAACGAAAATAAGTTCTGATTATATGGCATTTTTGAGTGCTACAGGAAGTTAACACTGTGTGTGACAGGAGAAGTACACTAGGGGTGGGCCAAAATTTTGAGAAGTCAGTGAAAACTTACAATATGGATGACTTTAACATAATTAGGCAAGCTGCATATTTGGCCATTTCTTTTTTTGCTTTTGGAAAGCTCTACTTGCCTCTAAGGAAAATAAAATATTAATAAGAGCCCTTAAGGGTCCAAAATTGAGAATGACCAAGCTTGAAACATTTATTCCTGAAAGTTGGTTCAACATTATATGCATATCATATACAATATGTAAATAATTACCAAAAGTCCATTAGATTTTAAAAATTTGTTCCAGGCTTTTGGTTTCCTTGATATAGGCAGTATCCCAATGAGGAAACCCTCTATATGAGTATAGGGAAGTACCAGCTCTGCTGATTAGAATGTGAGAGCTGCCTTAGAGCTGAAAAATTAAGTAATGATGATAATAATTGACATGGTTTAAAGTTTGCAAAGCATTTTACGTATGTCATCTTATTTGAGCCTCATAAAAATCCACTGAGGTAGGTGTTATTATTATCCCCATTTTGTAAATGAGAATGCTGAGGTTCAGAGATTTAAGTGATTTAACAGTTACATAGACATTTGTCAGAGATGGGAATTCAATCCAGTTCTCCCTGATTCATACTTCCCAATACAAATTTCTTTCTTACTCTCATAGAACATGAGCTTCACACCAGGGACTATTTCATCTTTGTTTTTTATCTCCAGTGTCGAACACATAGTAAATATTAATTAATTAATTAAATGTTTGTTCATTGACTGCCTACCATTAGATTGATGAGAAGATTGGGCTCTTCTTTTTAGGAGTGGGAATTATTCATATATTTATACACACACACACACACACACACACACATACACACACACATATATATATATATATATATATATATATATATATACAAATACATTATTAAAAAAATTTAAAGTTGGGGGGCAGAGTGAAAGCAGTGACTTGCTTGAGCTCTCCTCCAAACCCCTCCAAATACTCATAAAAAATGGCTCTAAACAAATTCTGAAGCAACAGAACCCAAAAAAGACAGAGTGAAACAAATCTCTAGCCCAAGACAACCTGGATGATTGATCAGAAAGGTGTATCTTGCCGGGCTGGGAGCACAGCGCAGCGCGGCGTGGGCGCACAGGCCACAGCAAACCTGGAGCAAGCCTCAGAGGACTGAATCTCCGCAGCTGTGGCGGTTTCCAGACTCCTCAATCCATGAATGACAAAGACAACTTAGAAGGTCAGTGGGAAAAGTCTGTTTCTGTCGGTGCTGAGAAAGGAAGGCGGGGTCTCAGCTCCATTCCCAAAGAGCATGGCCCTGGGTGGGGGGGGGGGGCAGCTGCTTCCTGAGCTTCTGGCCCACAGACTGAGGGGGAATCCAGTGGCTGATCAGAGAGGGATTGCAGGGATCTCTTTGCCAGTGCTGAGGCAGGAATCTCTTCCTTTGCCCATGTTTGGATCTGAGCCACAGTTCTGGGCGGCGGTGCTGGGGTGAGGAGGAGCGCTGGCTTGGTGGAGCTTGTAGTGGCTGTGGAGAAGAACCCCTCCTCACAGTTACAGGACAGAAAGGAATACTTGTAGTCACAGGCCAGGGAAGAAGTAAACACCTTGCCCCTTATCATACCACCTTGGAAGAACTGAAAATTTATAGGTCCCTACAAGTATCTCTGAAAACAGCTCTACAAACCCCCCGAAGCTTAGGACAGTACATTCTCCACATTGGAAGCAGAGTCATACCTTAACAAAGAGTTCAAAACTCAAGTAATTGTCTGGGATCATGACCAAGCAGCGCAAAAAGAATCAGACTATGTTATCTTACTTTGGTGAAAAAGAAGATCAAAACATACAACCAGAAGAAGACAACAAAGTCAAAGCTCCTACATCCAAAGCCTCCAAGAAAAATATGAATCAGTCCCAGACCTTAGAAGAGCTCAAAAGGGATCTTGAGAAGCAAGTAAGGGAAGCAGAGGAAAAACTGAGAGTGATGCAAGACAATCATGAAAAACAAGTCAACAGCTTGCTAAAGGAGACCCAAAAAAAATATTGAAGAAAATAACACCTTAAAAAACAGCCTAACCCAAATGGCAAAAGAGGTCCAAAAAGCCAATGAGGAGAAAAATGCCCTAAAAAGAAAAATTGGCCAAATGGAAAAGGAAGTCCAAAAGATTACTGAAGAAAATACTTCCTTAAAAATTAGAATAGAGCAATTGGAAGACAGTGACTTTATGAGAAATCAAGACACTGTAAAACAAATCCAAAAGAATGAAAAATTAGAAAACAATGTGAAATATCTCATTGGAAAAACAACTGACCTGGAAAATAGATCCAGGAGAGAGAATTTAAAAATTATTGGACTATCTGAAAGCCATGATCAAAAAAAGAGCCTAGACATCATCTTTCAAGAAATTATCAAGGAAAACTGCCCTGATATATTAGAACCAGAGGGCAAAATGGAAATTGAAAGAATCCACAGATCTCCTCCTGAAAGAGATCCCCAAAGGAAAACTCCTAGGAATATTATAGCCAAATTCCAGAGTTCCCAGGTCAAGGAGAAAATATTACAAGCTGCCAGAAGGAAACATTCAAGTTGTGGAAACACAATCAGGATAACACAAGATTTAGCAGCTTCTACATTAAAGGACCACAGGGCATGGAATATAATATTCTGGAGGGCAAAGGAGATAGGATTACAACCAAGAATCACCTACCCAGCAAAACTGAGTATAATCCTTCAGGGGAAAAAATGGTCATTCAGTGAAATAGAGGACTTTCAAGCATTCTTGATGAAAAGACCAGAGCTGAATAGAAAATTTGACTTTCAAATACAGGACTCAAGTGGAACATGAAGAGGTAAACAGGAAAAGAAATCATAAGAGACCTATTAAAATTGAACTGTTTACATTCCTGCATGGAAAGATGATATTTATAACTCATGAGACTTTTGTTAGTATTAGGGTATTTGGAGGGAAAAAAATTACCTGTATGTATTGGTAGATAGATAGATAGATAGAGGGCACAGGGTGAGTTGAAGATTAAGGGGTCATATCTGGAGAATAAAATTAAGGGATGAGAAAGTATTATACTGGGAGAAGAAGAAAGGGAGAGGTAGAACGGGGTAAATTATCTCACAAAAGAAAAACAGAAAAGAAAATGTTCTTACAGTGGAGGGGAAATGGGGAAAGGTGAGAGGGAATGAATGAATCTTATTCTCGTAGGATTTGGCTTAAGGAGGGAATAACATACACATTCACTTGGGTATGGAAATCTGTCTTACCCTACAGGAAAATAGGGGGAGAAGGGGACAAGAGAGCAGGGGGATGACAGAGAGAGAGCAGATTGGGAAAGGGGTAATCAGAAGCAAGTACTTCTGAGGAGGGACAGGGTCAAAAGAAAGAATAGAGGAAATGGGAGGGCAGGATAGGATTAAGGGAAATATAGTTAGTTTTTCACAATGTCTGCTATGAAAGTGTTTTGCATAACTGCACATGTACAACCTATATTGAGTTGCTTGCCTTTTCAATGGGGGTGGGTGGGGAGG